CTTGTGGCGCATTCAAGCTGGGGATCCCATCCACCGAAAGGGGGATGGTGAACTGTCCAACGCACACCACGGGAACTTAAAGTTGTTCCCCGGTGGTGTTTGTCTCCGTGCCACGTCCGGCGTTGCTGGAAGAGGCCATGAGTGTTGGGTTTTTTGAAGAAAAGGGGTTATGAGGGTTTGGAGGGAGGCTTTTTGAAGCGTTCCCACAGACGGCGCCAATTGATGATGCTTAATCTGGCCGGTCTTAGCTGTCAACGACCTTGCCTCTGAACTAAGTAGAGGGGAACCTGAAATGGAGGAGATGAGGAAACTCCGGGGAGAACCCGGTGTAAAGGCTCCGAAGATTAAGTTAGAATCCTTCAAAGGCAAGATAAAACCAGATAGCGCAAAGTTTGCATACCTCCTCTTTGGGGGGTGGAGAGCCTTTTATAACCACCTCACGCACTCACTCCTAGACTTCTGTCAGGTCGGGAATGATGATTTCCGTGCTTCTGCCAGTTCGGGCGTCATTGCCTCTGCTGGGGCAGAACCGTCACTGCTCTTTTTGTCGGAGCCATCTCTGTAACTGGAGATGGCGGTGGCAGGTGACGGTGGCAGGTGGCCGTTGAACTGCGGCCATCAAGCGTCAGATCCCAGGTCAGTCCGGTGCGCCACCCTTGGATACGGACTCCTTTGGTGTCAGGTACGGTGTGGTTCGTCCAGTTCAAGGCTCTGGAGGTGAAGTGCCTGGAGCGGTGCGTGAGGCGAAGTCTTGAGTTCGGATAGGGGGGTGTCCCGAACTGTCATAAGACGGGCCAGTTCGGGTCTCTGCTTTGTGTGACTCGGGGCCAAAGGGAAGGTTTGGGCTCTTCGCAGGGAGTTCGAGCTCTAAGTAGGGAGTTCAGGCCCCTTGTTGGGAGTTCGGGCTCCTCGTAGGGAGTTCGAGCTCTAAGTAGGGAGTTCGGGCCCCTTGTAGGGAGTTCGGGCTCCTCGTAGGGAGTTCGAGCTCTAAGTAGGGAGTTCGGGCCCCTTGTAGGGAGTTGGTCTCCTCGAGGGGAGTTCGGTCTCCTTGAGGGGAGTTCGGACCGCTGGTCTCTTCCCTTTGGTGTTTGTACCCTCGGTACGCTGTTTTAAGTGCCGAGCTACTTGTTTTTTGCCACGTGGCGTGATTTGCGAGATCGGGCCAAATCTTCCTTCATCAGGTTCAATAATAGCCAAAATAAGATAACTTTGTTTTGAAAAATATCAAGGAACGGCAATGATACTGTTCATCATCTTCCTCTGCTAGAAATCCTATATATAACCCCTGCTAGCTCGAGTCTCAAAGAAGAAAAAAAGATATTAAAATAATCAATTTGCTTCTCCTCTTTCCTCCCTCTACTACCGAAACAGAGATCAACCCAGCCAGTCGCCGAGGAAAGGAAGAACACCGCCGATGGTGACGTCAGAGAGAGTCCCTACTTCCCAGTTAGCATTGCCGCCGGGCTACCGGTTTTATCCGACGGACGAGGAGTTATTGGGCCTGACTTATCTTTTACCTTTTCAACACCATCCATCTATCTCAATAAACCCTCCTAATATCTATTTTCACCTCTTAGCAGCTTTGATGTGTTCCAGACCCTTTATATTCAGTCAATTCATCAGGTTTTTGAAATTTGAAGTTTTTTCACTTTGCCAAAAGCTTAATTGCATATTTGGAATACTTGACTTCCTTAAATACTGTAATATTAGTTTTATTTTTACAGAGAAAAAAAAAAAACCCACTTTCGTGTTCCTATTTCGTGCCATTAAGGTGATGGTTGGATTGCGGTATTGCGCGTCCATTGTATTTATTCATTGGAAATTAGGAAAAAAAATGCTGAAGGCACGAAAGGCAATGAAACAATCATCTCTTTCTTCACTCGCCAGTTTGATTTGGCTCTTGCTGGATAATTCCACTTGAAGTAGATGAACAGTGTCATTGTTAAAACCCTCGTTAAAAACTTAGTTAAAAACAGTGTCATTGAAGTAAATGAACAGTGTCATTTACTAAAAACTTAGTTATTTTATAAAAATATTATCTTTTATTGATATTCAGGACAAAAAGTTACAAAAGGTACGATGAGCTGCGACCGTAACGGATTGGAAAACAATAAAAGAGAAGGGATGGAGAAAATAGAGCTCGTGTTCTTTCCTGTATGTGGAGCTGGTCACCTGTTCTCAACGGTTGAGCTCGCGAAGCGAATTATCGATCGAGATGATCGTCTCTCCATTACCGTCCTGTGTATGCAGCCACCATCTTCTTGCGGTATTGACCCTTATGTCGAATCGCTTGCTGCCTCTATCCCTGCCATCCGTTTCATTGCTCTGCCTCAGGTCGATCCACCGTCGCCAGAAGTTTATACAAGTCCAGAAGGGTTTGCATCTCTCTTCATTCAAAGTCACAAACCACACGTTAGGAACGCTCTCACCCAACTTATATCGTCCTGTTCGGGTGCTGGTACGGTTCGAGTCGCTGGGTTGGTGATCGATTTCTTCTGCACCTCCATGATCGATGTAGCCAACGAGTTCGGCATCCCTTCGTACTTGTTCTTCTCTTCTACCGCTGGCCTACTGGGTCTTATGCTCCACCTACCAACACTCGATACTCAGATTCCCACTGCCACCGAGTTTAAAGACGCGGACACTGAGTTAAAATTCCCAACTTTTGTCAACCCAGTTTCTCCATTCTCCTTGCCTAAGCCCATATGGAACGGAAACGAAGATGGCTATAAATGGTTCCTTTATCACTGCCGCAGGTTCAAGGAAACGAAGGGCATCATAATAAATACGTTTGACGAGCTTGAATCCCATGCCATTAACTCGCTGTCTGATGGTCAAACACCGAAGGTTTATCCGGTTGGGCCGTTGCTTGATCTTGAGGGTCGGTCGTCGCACTCGCTGTCCCACCCCACCCAGTACAAGGAAATCATGAAATGGCTCGACGAACAGCCTCCGTTGTCGGTGGTGCTCCTGTGCTTCGGCAGCTTGGGCGGCTTTGACAAAGCTCAGGTAAAGGAGATAGCCATTGGCCTTGAGCGGAGTGGTCACCGGTTCTTGTGGTCGCTCCGTCAAGCAAGTAAGGAGAAGGGTATGATCATGTCCGGTGCTTATCCGAATCCGGAGGAAGTTTTGCCTGATGGGTTCTTGGAACGAACGGAGGGAAGGGGGATGATCCGTGGGTGGGTACCTCAGGTAAAGGTCCTGGCCCACCCAGCCATCGGAGGGTTCGTATCTCACTGCGGATGGAACTCGATACTGGCGAGTCTATGGCATGGTGTACCTCTGGCGACATGGCCACTCTATGGGGAGCAGCATCTAAATGCGTTTCAGTTGGTAAAGGAATTGGGGTTGGCGGTGGAGTTGAGGTTGAAATACAGGAACGGAGTGGATTTGGCGAGTGCAGAGGAGGTGGAGAGAAGTATAAGGGCTCTGATGGTCGGTGACAGTGAGGTGAAAAGAAGGGTTAAAGAGATGGGAGAGAAGAGTAGAGCGGTTTTCATTGAAAGTGGGTCTTCATTTGCTTCATTAGGACGCCTGATTGAGGATCTGATGCACAACTGATGGGAGGAGAGCGGAGAAATCTCTGAAACAGTTCAGTTTTTCAGTCGTCACTGTAGTTGGTTTCCTCCTGATAAGAAGTGGATATGAGTCTTTATGTTTGACGTGGTTGAATTCAGGTTTTTTTTTTTTTTTTCGGGTAAACGACTTCGTTGCAGAATGTTTTTAGCACTTTTGATGTTTTCACTAAGGGCCTTCTTGTTAGTTTTGCATATCCAAAAATCTTTTGTTAGTTAAAACCTTTCAACCCGAGGTCAAACCCAAATATGTCAATTCAGGTCCAATCCAAGCTTAATCTAACACAATTCAAGTCAGGCTTGGATTGGGATTGACAAACATGATTCTAGAAAAAAATTTGGGTAAAATACAAAAAATTTTCCTGATGTTTCTAACAATCATAAAAACCTCTCTTATAGTTTCATTTTAATAAATATTTTTTCTGAACTTTTGAGAAACTCAACAAAAACCTCTTTTCGGTTACCGTCCCAGACAAAAAACATTAAATTGATGCACCATTTTTTTCCAAATATCCATTCTACCTTTTTATAAATTATTTTACATAAAAAATTACTGAAATAATCCCATTTTAACTCAACAAAAAAACATATTTCAGTAATTTTTCCTGTAAAATTATTGAAATGATCATTAAAAGAGGTTTTTGTTGAGTTAAAATGGGGTTATTTCAGTAATTTTGTATGTAAAATAATTTATAAAAAGGTAGAATGGGTATTTGGAAAAAACTGGTGGATCAATCTAACGTTTTCCGTCTAAGACAGTGATGGAAGGGAGGTTTTTGTTGAATTTTTCAAAAATTCAGGGGAGGTATTTATTAAAATGAAACTATAAGAAAGGTTTTTATGATTGTCAGAAAACTTGGAAAGACCAGAATTGCTAAGATTAGAATAATAATTCTTTCCCAAGTTTGAGATTTCTATTTAAATATGAGGCAGTTGGCTGCTTCTAGGAAAAATCTTTCACCATGAGTTAGTTGGATTTGGACTTATTCTCATGGGCCTCACACTCGTAGTTAGCTGATTTGTTCTGGGCTCTATCTCTTTCTTTCTTTCTTTCTTTTTTCTATTTATATATGGTGGTTCATATTCTTTGGAACAGAGGTATCTTGCAATAAAAAATTGTGTATACACCAACCAGCCATACATCAAGAATATCTTCCATACTTGTATGATCGGATAGCATGCTTTCAGAGTATCCCACTTGTATTCATCCCTTTACCCATCCTCTCTTTAGACTTGAAAACGAATGCTTTGAATTGGATTTGTGTAGCGTTTATCTGCACTTTCTATAACAAAATTGAGGCATATCATTGGATTCGGATCTCAATTTATAGACCTGTAAAAAAATTAATAAACCTTAAAAAAAGTATAAAACAACATTTATGCGAACTCAAATCCTATCCAATTAAATGTAATCTGAATTTGATTTATTTATAATCTGGTTAAATATGAACAACTCTACCCGCTCTGATAATATATATTCAAATATGCTTTTGTTTGCATAAAAATTTTGCATTGTGTCTCTTAGTAAAGATAGTAAATGAATGTTGTATTTTAACTAAAAGAGTCACAGATCCAACCCTCGTGAAAATGATTTTTAATTCATTTTATTCAAGATATATAATATTAATGTCATTTTTATTAGGATATTTTGTAAAGCTATATTATTATTTTAATCATTTTTAATTTAATCTATTAATGTTCAATATGCAAATCTGATCCAAATTCAACCTAAATCCATTGGATTCTGATCATTATGTTATTAAAAAAGGGTAAATTACAAGGACCCCCAATTCCCATACTATGGGGTCAATGACAAAGATCCCTCTATACCTTAATTTACAACAAAAGACCCTCCTAACTTTTACGTTGTGACAAATACCCATTCCATTGTTAAGTCAAATGACGAAAGGCATTAAATTACCAAAATTATCCCACCCAACTTTCTCTATTTTCTTTTTCTTACCATTTTCTCTAAAAACCTAACCAACCCTAAGGCTATGTTTGGTTTCAAGGAAAGGAAAGGCAAGGAAACTTTTATAAGCCTTGTATAAGTTTTGATATTTTTCCCTTCCTTTTCCTATCTTTTCTTTCAAATCAAATATAGCACAAAATACAAGGTTTTAAAAACTGACCAAAAAATGGAACTGTTCTAGCTACCGATTTTCGGGTCAAACGGTTCGGGCGGTTTGCATTAGGGCAAGATAACAATAGTGAAATAGTATATGAGAAAGGAGGAGTGGAGAAGAGAGCCTTTTGTCGGCTGAGAAAGAAGAGAAGGAAAGAAAGAAAGGAAGGAGAAAAGAAAAAAAAAAGGAAAGAAGAGAAAGAAAAGGAAGGAAAGAAAGAGGAAAGGAGGGAAGAAGAAGGAAGAGGAGGAGAATGGATTCGACGTTCACCAGCGACAGCGACGACGAGATGGCAACGGCGGTAACAGAGCAGATGACAGATCTCAGATCTGAGATATGAGTTCTCAGATTTCAGATTTGAGATTGATTTTTCGTTTTTTCTTAGATCTGGATCTGAGATCTGAGAAAACTGCAACTTTTTCTACTTCTTCTTTTTCTTCTCTCTCTCTCTCAGTCTCTCTAGATATCAGATTTGAGTTCGTGTCTCAGACTCAGAGTATCTCCCTCTCTGTAATTTCTCAAACCACGAACCGCTGTCTGGGTCAAACGAACCGACGGTTCGACCGCCCGGGTCAGCGGTTTTCTGACAATCAATGATTTTTGACCCAAGAGCGAGTCGAGGGTGAAATGGAACTGATTGCTTGGACGATTTCCGGGCTGAACGGTCCGACCATCCGGGTCAACGACGGTTCAAAAACATTGCTAAAATACCTCCACTGCTTCTCAGCAAAGTGCAAGTCCACCCGAACACACCTTCAACTGGCCTTTCATTCAATGGTGATTGGATGCTAGCAACCAGACCTGCCCAATCACCAAACTGCCCCTTCGGCAACACCCATCGCTCATCCCCAGCCACGCTCTCAAAAGCCTCATTTCTAATTTCACCCTCTCTTCCCCTCCAAAGCTACACTCTCAACCACAACCCCAGATCCTAATCTCCACTCACCTCAACCGGAAACCCGCCTTACGCCAGAAGTTGACCGAGTCCGATGCCGTTTCTGTCGTTCTCAATTGTGTTGGCTCTGAGGATTCCAATATCCAAGAATCAGTGCTTTCACTTCTCTTGAACCTCAGTTTGGATGATGACAATAAGGTGGGTTTGGTTGCCGGGGGAGCAATTGGTCGTGTTGTTTCTGATTTGCAATCTGGGATGCCCAACTCTAAGGTGCTTGCAGCAACGATGCTAACGAGCCTAGCCGTCGTGGAAGTGAACAAGGTGACCATCAGTGCCTTCCCGTTTACAATCAGAGGTATTGTTTTGTTTGATCCTTCAATTCAATTTGGAAGGAGTATAAATACAAATATGTACTGTGTAAATATATATAAAATAATACAAAATATAAGGTTTTGCACTCTATGGATTTGTATTTGTACTCCTTCCAAACTGAGCCTTTGAGACGGCAATGGGAAGGGTTTGCTCCTTCAGCTCAGTTTGAAGGAGTACAAATACAAATATGTACTGTATAAATACATACAAAATAATATAAAATACAAGGTTTTGCACTCTACGGATTTGTATTTGTACTCCTTCCAAACTGAGCCTTTGAGACGGCAATGGGAAGGGGAGTAAAGAAGCAGCGGTGGCTCTTTACACCCTATGTTTCTTCTATGATAACAAGAGGAGAGCTGTTGAATGTGGGTCGGTGCCAATTTTGATCGAAATGGATGGTTCTATGTTGAAAGGGCTATTGAGGTTCTAAGCTTGTTGGCCAAGTGTAGAGAAGGGAGAGAAGAAATGAAAAGTTTGATGGTTTTGTCCAGATTTTGGTCAGAGTGTTGCTGAATGGAAGTCCACGCAGTGTACAACATGCGTTATCCACATTAAACTCACTCTGTTCTTGCAACCAATGAATGTGTTGGGAGGCTAAGAGCGAGGACACTGAAGAAATTTGTTTTGGATTCCTAGAAGGTGAAAGTGAGAAGATTAGAAGAAATACTTCGATTTTGATTCAGAGTCTACATAGGTATTCATCAGTGGGTTGATTTGAGTTGGGGTCTGTTTATCATCTGTAGAGGTGAGTTTAGTTCTGTTCATTAGCCTTTCTCCTTTGGATGGTCAATGTAAAAAAGCAAAGAGTAGATTTTTGTGGGGCCGAGTCCTATCTGTATCTTGTAAATTCTCAGTAAACATATCAAGTTTCTGCTTTTGTTGTTCATATAAGAAATCTTCGTTTTGATCCTCTGAGTTGCCAATCAAGGAAAGAACAAAAAAATCTGTATTCCATTGAATTGAAATTTATCTTATTTCCTAAAGAAAACAAAAGAAAAGGAAGACAAATTAAAAGAGAAAAACTGAAGACAGAGAAACTGTTCTATAAGACTTCTTCTGAATAACTGTTTCTATTTCTTGGAATACCATAGACAAAACTTAATTCTAATTGAGTTACACAAGTGCTTGACTGACTACCTGGACTATCCATTATTCACCGAAGCACTATGAAGAAGATAGAAAACAAGTGCACTAGAAATGCAATTCTTTCCATGAGCACATCTCTGCTTTTCTCTAGAGAACAGGGGTCATTCAAATTTGAAAGATTAAAGAGAGATTTAGACCTCAACACTCGTTGTATTAAGCATTTGGAATGCATGAACGGATCAGAAAGGAGAGCGGGGAAAAACAATGAACAGTATAATAAAGTAAGATGATTTCATAAATTAAAGAATAGGATGGTTTGGGCATTTAGAAAGCTTTGAATAGACAGACAAGAATCTTTTTCGAAGTTAATTAACGGAATGCTAATGGGTCTTTCTCTAATGGCTAAAGTTCAAGGTGGCAAACTAAAGGGTAGAGGGTCTTTGTCACTGACCCCACTGTACAAGGGTAGTCTTTGTAATTTATCCTTAAAAAAATCAAACTCATGGTAGGTATATCTGGTTCCATATGATCCATTTGAAACCCTAACTACCCACCACACATACATAAATATAA